GATTTTAGTTCCGTGTTGGCTGGTTCTCCTTTTGAGATGAGCAGTTCCTTCTTCTTTGAGTTTAATAGATCCACAAGTGGGCCTATGCAGAGTACGTAATGTATATCATACATACACATGCACACAGCAGGTGGGCAAGAGGTTTTCATGCTGATCTTAAAAGGTTCATGCTCAATTTGTGAAAGGCTTTCAAAAATTGTTTTTAAAAGACAATCACTTTTTGTTTGCTTTAATTTTCTTGCAGCCAACTATAGAAAAGGCAGCATGTCAAAATTACTTTAGGTTCTATATAGATTTTTTTGCTATAAAGGTTTATTATTTATTTTATCTTTTACAGACAATGTGAAAGTTGCAGAAAATGTTCTTTTTAAATATACGGTCAAAACTGTACAAGGTAACCATAACTAGGTGTTATTTATTAACGTATTATAAAATAATGTTTGACCCACTTTGTGCTTGTCTTATTTAAAGTTGGAATGTGAGACTTGCTGTGATCCACTGTTTCTTTCCCATTCCCATTTGTAGATACTGTGTGAACTACAGTGTATAATGATAATTAAAGGCACTACGTGGATGTCACGTACATTTTGAAATAGAACTCTATTAGCTTTGTATCATGTTTGAATAATTAATTAATGTTCACAGTTTAAAAGCAGCATTAAGCCCTCTGTAATTAGCAATGAGAAAGAATGTTATTTAACTTAAACTTGGGGGTTCCCCCAACTTTTTTCCAGATACATTATAATTCTGGACTCCTATTTATCTCAAAACTCATAACTTATGCAGGCCAGCAGGTTTTTTGCATTCCTTTTAATTATCTGGTTGTGACAGAGCTTGATGTTGATCAAATTCACTGTTTCATTCATATTTATTGTAATATATTTTTGTTTTGTAAATATGTTATACCAACAAAATGTGATTGGTCTAAAATATTTGTAATGTATATTAAAAGGCTCAAAAATATTTTCAGAGATCGGCTGTTTTTTGCACTTGTAGGAAAACAAACACAGACCTGAGTTCTGAGATGATTCACCGGCAAGCAAAGTTTTGGGGAAAGATTATGAAAGCAAGTAACCTTTCTGCACCACCATGTAATCGAGACAGGATCTGTACTTTAAGCAGCTCTTCCCTAACACACGGCACACACACATTTCGATCACGAGTGTTACGGTTCGGAAGGGGCCAGTGTAGAAGCCCATGGGGCTCTTAGCTAGAGTATGAAAGGATTTGCAAAAGTGCTGAGGCAATTTGGTCCCGTAGTCTGCGGCTATTGCAGAGGGGAAACCAACTTCCTGCCACTTTGTTCTCCGAGGACAGAAGCAGCACATTCATTTGCAAGCCCACGCTACACTGGAAGCACCCGAGCCACCACAGCACTGGACACATCTGGAAGAACACTCAGGCTGGATCCTGAGCCCCTGCACAAACACTGCCAGGGAATGAACACACAGAAACTGGACTCTGGAAACAGTTACCATGGCGACAGGTCAGTTTCCCTGCTGCAAACACTGACCAGGGAATGTAGGTCAAATCAACATGTTCCGATGGTTCTAGGGTAAACTGTGGTGTTTGGGCGTAAAGCCACGGTATCATTAACTTCCCCCTTGTATTAAACACACTCCTCCCATTGGCCTTGCCACTTTGTGCAGCATCTCTGGAGTCCTCTTTTGTGAGGGTCTTTAGTTGTACTCTCCTGGCTGCCT